CGAGTGACCAAAGTGAAAAGAAAGCAAGCGAAACCATCGAATACGCTAAAATTGAGTGCCTAAGTTCAAAAACCAAAGTAAGGGCGGATGTGATACGACGGAAAGGCAGCTCGAATAGAGGAAGCAAAACAGGCTATGGAGCACGCCGTAAGAGGACGCGTTTGTCCCTGCATCAATCGCGGTGGGTGGGGAACGTAGCGATATGCACATCCTTGAAGGATTAGCGCCCTAACCACGCACGTTTCGACGAAGCAGTCATGATCGAGGTAGGTACGGATCCTTACAGTTCCCCTCGCGGTATCCTTCCTACTAGTCGGGCTAATCTCGATGCCTCTCCTTCAAGGTAGAGATTGCGTTGATTGAAAAGAGGACAAGTGTCTTTCCTCCACTGATAAGGCACTGAAGTGGATGACTAATGCTTCTCCAGCGCTCTTTCGCCAATGAGCAGAGATTCCATCTTTGCCTCATAGTCACAGCGAACGCGGCCTCAACGTGTTCTAAATCCCAATGAAAGGTTTTGTACACATCAACGTAGGGTTAATGGAAATGTATAGAAAAAGGGAAATATAAACAGGTCTAATAAAATCTTTTTAAAAAACCGCTCAAATCAGAAACCGATTATGGGACGCAGCTTAGTGTGAGAATGCGTATCTATTGAATGGTTATGCACGGTGTTCACCTACTAAATGCGATCGACGAAGGCCTGACCACCTCTGGATAAATTGATGTGTACAAAATGCTGTACTGGTTAACTTTGCAGGACCGTCGCTCGACCCCTGTTACCTGAGAAAACGCGCCATAAAGTGAATATACTCGGATCGCAATGGAAAGACGAAATACGGAATTTGGCGGATGAGAAATGCCTTCCAACCTACTGGAACGAAGAATGGCAAGCAGGAGTAAATAAGTTCATACAAATATCTTCGAAAAAATGAAACTCACTTATTGATTTCAAGCCGTTCCTGGCGCCGATTGAGCGAGGTGCAGACTACCCAGAAGATGGCTACTACAAAGGTGAAATCTCCAGTGCTGCGAAGGTTCTCCAGGTTCCAGCTGGGAAGAGTGCCTATCTCGATGTTGAGGCAAAAGAGGTAAGTGATGTATTACACGCGTGTCAGAGGCTCTCTAAATACATTAAGGTGTTACCGTAATCGCAAGATATACATCAAGCTAGTAGTTTGCTTAATAAAGTGATATTTCGAATGATCAACGAAGGACTAACTTGACCTTGAAGATGGTCTAACCCTGAATTACCCACTCATCGTCAGTT